AAAACTTATTTTTATTTCACTTTTTTCCACAAAAGTTTTTGTTATTTACCGGACATTGACGGAGAAAATGTTTGACTCGATGCCCAGGAAGTGGCCGACCCGGAGGACAGACACGTCGGACAACATTGAACTGTTCAGTCGTGAAGACACTCTTGTGTTGAATCCGAGACAAAGACAGACAAACCATACATTCGTGAACTGCTCTATATTTTCAATCATTTTACTCATACTTATATCAGTTTCGGCCATATTTTTGATTAAATTCAGTTATAACTCAATTCATGTGCATCCCATTGAACCACAATATGATGACAGTTACAGTGATATCATATTTGACCCAAATAATGAGCGCATTACCAGCCCTACCGGCGCTCAGTGTCGCAACATTTCGCCAAACGCACGGTTCGACTGCAATCCCGACGAACCAATTAGTCAAGAGGTGTGCCATAAAAGGGGCTGTTGTTGGACACAGACAACCGTCACCATAAGTGCCAGTACTGGACATGTAGTCAATGCCAGTGCCCGCAAAACCCCACCACTAAGTGTGCCCTTATGTTACTTTGGCTCCGATTACGTCGGCTATAGAGTGACAAACATTGAGACATATCTCTATCGGACAGTCGTTACCCTCGAGCGCACCCAACCCTCCGGTTTTATAAGAGACGCGCCGACTGTTAAACTAGAGATCATTGAAATCAACGATTACTCCGTCAGGTATTCAAGTGATTCATGTCTTACGAGACATACATTTAATCAATTAATTGTGTGACCAAAGGATCAAACTGTACGATCCGGATGAGCGCCGATACGAAGTGCCGATACCTGTGCTCAATGTCGTGCCACAGAAGACAATCGACAGATCCCTCTTCAAAGTGAAGATCACCGCAAACGGCTTTCTCGTCGTTTCTCGTCGCCGTACGTCAGCGCCTGTATTTCAAACAGATCTCAAACGACTAGTATTTTCCGATCAATTTCTTGAGCTTTCATCAGATCTGCCCAACGATTATGTCTACGGAATCGGTATTTAATTCATTTGATTTAAGACTTTTGTACTTAAAATTGTTTTTATTGAATGTTTAAAAGGCGAACATAAGGATGGCTTCAGAAAGTCAGCCAAACAGTGGAAAAGATATACACTTTTCAATAGAGATCAATATCCCGTCCCAGACATGAATCTCTACTCCGCTCAACCATTTTATCTGTCCGTTGAGGACATGAATGGCAACAGTAATGGTGTGTTTCTGTTCAACAGCAACGCAATGGATGTCATATTACAGCCCAAACCGGCCATCACTTGGCGTACAATCGGCGGTATTCTTGACTTTTATGTATTTTTGGGGCCAACCCCTCAGGACGTCATTCGACAGGTATTTCACATGAGTTTGTTTGAAGTTTTGTATGAAATGATTATAATTTTCTTTTCATTTAAAGTACACTCAGTTAATCGGTTTGCCAGCACTGCCTCCCTATTGGGCGCTGGGGTTTCATATTTGTAGGTTCGGTTACAAATCATTAGATAATATGCTGGCTGTGTTTAATCGCACCCGAACCGCGCAAATCCCGTACGATGTCCAGGTAATAACTCTCAGATCTTTGGTAACGAGATTTTCAACTAATTGAATGCCATTCCTCTGCAGTGGAATGATATTGACGCCATGAATGCCAATAAAGACTTCACTTACGACGAGAAAAACTTTGCAAAATTACCGCAATTTGTTCAGAATTTGCACAATATTGGTATGAAATATATACCGATGTTTGATCCAGGTATATCTGCTTCTGAACCACGAGGCACTTACGCACCATTTGATATGGGAATGGATTTGAACATTTTCGTAAAGAACTCGACGGGACAGCCTTTTATTGGTAATTGAATTGTTTTTAATATATTTTTATAATTTTAATTTCTTTATTGGTTGTAATGATAGGAAGAGTATGGACTGGAAAGCCTACTGTTTGGCCAGATTTTACTGATCCAAAGACCCAAATCTATTGGACGCAAATGTTTGCCAAATATCATAAGGAACTGGAGTTTGACGGCGCCTGGATTGATATGAACGAGTATGGACTGGAAAGCCTACTGTTTGGCCAGATTTTACTGATCCAAAGACCCAAATCTATTGGACGCAAATGTTTGCCAAATATCATAAGGAACTGGAGTTTGACGGCGCCTGGATTGATATGAACGAGCCCTCAAACTTCTTGGACGGCTCTCAGTACGGCTGTCCACAGAATCGTCTGGAGAGCCCGCAATACACTCCCGGTGCCAACTCAGACCCGTTGCGGACTAAGACTCTGTGTATGAATTCGCGACAATTCGCGGGTTTGCACTACGATTTGCATAATTTGTATGGTTTTAGTGAAGCCATTGTCACTAATCTGTATGTGATTTAAGTTTTATTTCGATAAAAAGTGTTAATTTGCGAAAATAATTACTTGTATTTTCAGAGCCCTGAGAACTATTACTGTTTTTGCTGGGCAGTAATATAGCGCGAGTTGCAAACGGCCAGTGCCTTTTATACGGCCAGTAACCCTGCCCCTATATCAGCGACTGACCCTCAGGTACGCTACCTCATAAGGAACATTAGTATACTTTGTTATTTACCCATTAATTTATACCCTGACTATTGTGTAACATTTATATTTGCAAATGACAGCCATTCTGAACTTCAATTTATTTGGGATACCTTTGGTGGGCGCCGACATCTGCGGTCAGTACAAGCCTCGAGGCATACAATAAAATGAATGAAATAATTGATTTGACGTCTAATTGATTGATAGGATTCAATGGCAACACAACTGAGGAGCTGTGCGCCCGGTGGTCATCGTTGGGCGCTTTCTATCCGTTCAGTCGTAACCATAATTCCGACGATTGTGTAGATCAGGATCCGGTGTCTTTGGGACCCGTAGTGACCGCCGCCGCCAAACAGGCCCTCGAACTCCGTTATGCACTTCTGCCTTATTTTTATACATTATTCTTCAGGGCCCACACCTCTGGAGATACTGTGGTTCGGCCCCTATTTTTCGAGTTCCCTACCGATGCCACGAGCTATGAAATTGAGACTCAATAGACAAAAACGACCCGTCATTATATCGCGCTCAACGTTTGCCGGTCACGGAAAATATGCCGGTCATTGGGACGGGGATATAGTCGCTGACTGGGAGTCCATGCGATGGAGTATTCCTTGTAATCATATTTTTGTTATTTACCCATTCATTTATACCCTGACTATTGTGTAAGATTTATATTTATTTTGCAAATGACAGCCATTCTGAACTTCAATTTATTTGGGATTCCTTTGGTGGGCGCCGACATCTGCGGTCAGTACAAGCCTCGAGGCATACAATAAAATGAATGAAATAATTGATTTGACATCTAATTGATTGATAGGATTCAATGGCAACACAACTGAGGAGCTGTGCGCCCGGTGGTCATCGTTGGGTGCTTTCTATCCGTTCAGTCGTAACCATAATTCCGACGATTGTGTAGATCAGGATCCGGTGTCTTTGGGACCCGTAGTGACCGCCGCAGCCAAACAGGCCCTCGAACTTCGTTATGCACTTCTGCCTTATTTTTATACATTATTCTTCAGGGCCCACACCTCTGGAGATACTGTGGTTCGGCCCCTATTTTTCGAGTTCCCTACCGATGCCACGAGCTATGAAATTGAGACTCAAT